GAGATGTCTGATGGGATCTGATGGGGTTTTATGGAGTCCGTGCTGGGATTCACACTGATGGCAACTCGTGTTAACATATTATACGACCGTGGGATTTCTGCAGCTCACGGTTTCCAAGCTGAATTTGGACTTCAGCCAGTGTTAGTACAAAGTGAATGCAATTTTGATATGGTCAACATATCATCTCAAAAGCTTGAAGATCATCTGTAAACGATCAAAATGTTTGTCACGTATTTTAGGGAAACCCAGTGGATCAACCGGGGAGAGCAAAATCCATCCATGTAAGCAACACAACACAATTCTGGTTGAATTCATCTGTCAACAGTCTAGAGACAGAGCCAAAGTGAGTGTGACCTCACATATTGAAAGCTATAGTCTCCTCATATTTTAAATCTGTGTTTCACTACTGGCAAAGGACTTCTAATGTCGAAGGAGCTCAGTGGTCGTAAAAGTCAGACACCAATCCTCCAGCAGATTTCCTGAGCTTAATAACACAGAAATAATCATTTCTGCAAGCCGCCTTTAGCTATATAATATAATAAACATCTGTCCGCATGTCGCCACATCTGGTTATAATGAAGGCAAATTAGCTACAAAATGCAGAGTGTCTGGCAATAAGATAAGGCCGCGGCATGCTAAATTCATTTTCTTGGACCAGTCCCTGGGGTCTGGGGAGCAGGGATAGCCTGAGGAGCTGACCCTGGATCAGTGTCTGACTGCTGAAGTGAACACACATGGGTCAGAAAATGGAGATCAGAAGCTGATCTGAGACCAGGGGCTTGCAGACTTCTTCAGTCATCTGCCAGTCATTGGAGGTCTGGGGGAATCATCAACTTCCTGTCTCATTTCTCTGGACTTAGAATCAAAGAGGGGAAATTATTCTGCAATCTGGCTGGTGTTTTCCTTTTCCCCCCCGGCTGGAAATGTGAAGGTTGTCGCTGGCTGCAGCCTCTGCAGGAGACTCCATAGATCCACGGCGTCTTTAAGAAAGTGGAAACCTTTTTACGCCTCAGTCGCTAGTTAGGCCACAAATTGTTTTTTGGGTTGTAGCAATTTCCTAGACTTTGCTTAAGGAGTAAATAAACCATTCCGAGGGGAATTACATCCACCCGCTTAATTGTAACATGCATAGTTCAGTGAAGTGTAAAACCGTTACTACAATAAAGGGGATCACAAATTGTTGAGAATAGAGTTTGAATCCAACAGACCAGCTGTTAAACTCTGAACGGGGAAGAAACTCTCTTCCCACAGTTGCAAATGAGTGACCTTGAGCTTGGCAGTTCAAGGAAAAACCCCCCATCAGATCCTCTTACATGGCTACGATCACCAATCTGTGATTTTGTGCTATACCTACTTTTTCTGTTTTTACTCAATCTGCCTGGTCAACTGTTACTTATATGCTAAAAGCTTCCTTCATTCTGTCTATGGACAACTTCTATAAACCGTGCTGCATAAGCATTTGGCTATATGGATATAATAGTCCATTCCTCTTTGATGGAGACACAACAAACACAATCTAACCAGTCTTGACTCAGACAATATTCTCATTTTTTTGGAGTGGGTTTCACTTTCTGCTCTATCCAAATCTGCTGTCATGCATATTTTTGCACTTGGAAAAGTTTAAAACTGTATTTCCAAACATGTCAGTCCCACATTGTATCTTCACGCTGTAAACCGCAGAGAGCCGTCAGACTCCATTGAGGCTTATCATTAATCACTTGCAGGCCTCATATACTGTATCTCTCCTGGAGGATCAGGTTTGTAAGACATGTTTCTGCTTTAAAATCACACAACTCTGCTCTGAGATAAGGTTATTAAGCTAGAAGTGGACCGGTCCTTGAAAGTTGCCTGAGCAGCAGAAGCAGCAGCAGCTGTTCCCCAGGTGTTTGGATGTGTGTGGCTTCACCATCTTGTCTTAATCGTAGCCTCCTCAAAGAACTGGCAAGACTTCCAACGAACCCCGTCATTCCTTTACAGTGGGGTAAAGTCATAGAAACCGGCGCTGCGTTCCCAGCAGCCAGGTGGACTTAAACATTAGTCAGTCCGAAGGATGGGAGTGAAATAACACATTTTAGGAAAGCACATCTCATCATCAGCATTTCCATAAACAAAAGGGAGTGAGAGTTGGAATCCAAACACAGCTTTATGGTGCACATGGTTACAACAAAAAGGCATTCTATTATTTTCTCACTCTGGTTATTAAGAATGAACACAAAGCTCGTTCAACTGCTCTTGAATAGGAGCTCACCCCCTTCCCATAAACTCAAAACGCCTTGCACCACCATCATGAATCTGCCATTTTATAAACACAACTCCACTGTGGCGAGCAGGGCGCCGCAAGACGCTTTCCAAGTGCAAGTTTCAACAGCTAGCCCGGCGCACAAGCACACCTTTTTCCCTCATGTTGGAGAGGAGAGGCCTAAAACAACAAACCGCCAGGCGAGGGAGGGCTGGGGAGGGGATGAGGGGTGGGAGGGGAGACAGAAGGGATGAGTCATCCAGCAAACAGAGAGTCTAGTTTAGGCTTAGCTATATATTGTGCCATGCTGCTCCAACATCAATTTGTGGGTTTAAAATAAAGACGTGGTTATTCTGAGCAGTATTTAATTATGAGCATCAGTATTAAGGGGTCATTAATAATGGTGTGGTGAAAAATGGTTGGCTGCAGAAGACATTGTGGAGATAGTGGAAGCAGGGTTCGTACTCATTACCAGGGCTGGTTTTCCTTGGATCCAGGGCTGAAGCCTTAGATAAGCACGAGCAAACACTGTAATGCTTCATTGCACAAATACAAATCCTTTGAATAGATTTTTCCAGGAAGTGATTACTTCATATGACAATTAAAGTTCTTTCGATGCACATACGGGGAGTTAAGTCGGGCTTAAGATGGACTTTGAAAAATGACAACCTGACTACATAATGGAGAGATCAAACTTGACCACCTACTACTTATTTGTAATAAAGTGCTGAGTCATATAAAGGTATTCTACCAGCTAGTTAGCTTATTTAAAGGCTGTATTTAGTTATTAAAGGCTAGTTGCATTATGGCATACATTTATTTCAATATTTATTTAGCATGTATTTATTTTCTTCTTCTTTGGTCTAATGAAATAAATCTCTTACTTCATGAATCACTTGGTGATGAACAACTACGCCAACGTCTTCTTCAAATCCTCTTATCACCTTTAATCTACTTACGGTCATTATTCCAAGTCATTTAACAGTTTTTATTATTCTATTCACTTATTCGGTTGTGTTGCTTTCACTTTACATTGACCTTTTCATGCCTTTTTTTTTTCTCCTCATGCATTTATTCTTTTGATCTTTTGCTCTTACATTTTGTATTCTCCTTTTGTTTGAATTTGGTAGACAAATCTCTGTTTGGCCCGACTATTGATGCTTAGTTCCTGCCTTTACTTTTTCTGTCAAAGCACTTTGTAAACATCTGTTTTTCACTAACAAAGACCCACACCAAGAAAGAGTGATTTCCTTTGTCAACTGTTTTTGCACAAATACACCAAGACAAATTCCTTCTATGTGTAAATGTACTTGGCAATAAAAAACGATTCTGATATTGATTTAGAATACTTTATTGTAATATGCAAGGCATATTATATGCAACAAAATGATGAGGGAGGTTGGATGATGGAAAGATTGAGGGTGGATAGATGAAGCGAGTGAAGGGATGAAGGTCAGGGTGGAGGGATGTGGAATGAAGGGGTGAATGCAGAGGTGTAGTGCCCGGTATACACACTTCTTTTTCAGTCTCCACTGAGTATACCCACTTCTAAAACTCCTCTGATTTACACCATTGATTGATTGACAATATTCAGTAGCATGATGCAATTTCTTTCCCTGGTGGTGAAGGGATGACTCTCCCTACTCCGTCTCTAATTGGCTAGTACACACAAACTAAATATGTAGGAGTAGTCTTACATGACACTGTCTATAACAGGGGGTGTTTATCCTCTGCTGGACGGGCCACTTGCCAAAATGCCACAAAAAACATTTTGGGGAAAAATTGAGTATACCCATTTTTTAAGCACCACTACACCACTGGATGAAGGTAATATAAAATGACAATATTTAGGATGTTGTGGTTGAAGTGGAGTTCTGGTCATTGCGTTGTTTTCCCGCCTGTCTATGCTTTAGACTTTTTTAGACTTTAGACTTTATTGTCCTCAAGGGGAAATTCTTTTCCACAGCACCGTTACTGTCCAAACAGACAAGTCCCACCAAAGAACATTCATACACAGAAAAACAGAGTATAACACAAATAGAGTTAGACAACAGTCAAAAGTTCCCACTCTGGCCTGTTCAGCGAGGCCTTTAGTTTAGGGCCGCTTTAACCGCACTGACACATTGCATCTGTGACGGGGTAATATTGGTTTCTGAGAGTGTGAGTTCATATTGCATTACAGCGTTACATGAGAGGCATGCAGTGTGAGCACACAGCAGGAGCTCCACATACACGCATACTCAGGCATGCACACACACAGCACTGTTCCAACGTTACACTTCACCCCCCACCGCTCTGTCTTTGTGCGTCACACATGGCACGCCAGGCGTAACCTTTAAATGGCTGTCTTTAAGCGGCACATGTTTGCTAAGAGGCCTCTGTTTGGACTCATTCATTTGGACTGACATAAATTTGCAGATCAACAAAAGATCATGTCATCACCACATGCTTCCGCTGAAAGTCGAGCCATAAATATTTGTATTTACTTCCCAAACCTCGGAGGGAAGAAACTGTGACACCAAATAGTTAAACATCCTCTTCCTTCCACATCCTCAAACATCCCCGTCTTTTTCTCTCTCTCTCGCTCCGTGGGGGGGCCCTGACTGATGACAGAGCTGAGGTGTCCTTGGCGGTTTGTGGTTCTGCCCTTAAAGACCTGCGTGTAACACCCCCCACCAAGAGAGCCAAGTTGCCCCAGATCTAAAATAATTCTCCCGCATGATACAGACACTCATATCACTGAAGACTTGAAACACTTGAATGAATGTAGCAGCACACAAAAAGGTGTTTTTTTATTGTTAATATACAGTATGTGCAAAACAGTGCTTCATTCAAAGCAGGAATAATGCATAGGCAAGGCTGCAAAATACTCGTAGACAAAAGGTAAGCAAAAATAATGGAATCTGTTTATATACAATTTACAAAATAGAATAGCTTTATATAAAAAATGTATATAATCATCTTTATCATTCAACTGTAGCTGCATCCTTTTAAAACAAACTGCTGCTAATATGCTCCGCTTTACTTTCCCCTCAGGAACATTTCACTTGTTACATTCACTCGTTTGCACATTTGAGGAGTCCATTATTGCCAAAGTGTCCATTCAGTGAGGTAGAATTGTTCATATTTTTGGTCGTCCTTCTCTCTGAAAAACAAGAGTCACTCAGCTAAGTGCTCGTTCTCCGCTGTGGGTTGGGATCAGTCCTTCTGCTGTCAAAAGGCTGCTCATAAACACAGTTGCTCTGCTCTGACGAAGAGTCCCTGGTGAGACTGCCCTCCTCGAGGTCCGAATCGGTGTCCGCAGCCGCATACGGATTCTCGTGCAGAGTTATTCCATTGTGCGTCACCGACGGTGGGCCGTAGCCCGTGTATGCGTCGTTGTGAGGCCTCCAGGGAGTTTTCCCAAATGTTCCTAATGGAGGAAAAATGCAGAAGAAGTTAGATCAGTGTACTGAAAAAAAGTTAGAAAAGTTCAGAAAACTGATGAAGATAAGACCTTACCCATGAAGGTGTTATAGGAAGGAGGGCACTCAACGTTCCTTGCAAAATCGCTGGGTTCTCTCTCCTCTGAGGACGGCCGGCGCTCACTCTGCTGGTGGAAGGGGCCGTGATGGAGGCTGGCGTTGGGGAGTTGCATCAGGACCGACGAGGAGCAGAGATCAAAATGCTCAGGCAGGAGGTAGTCTCCTCTTTTCGAGCTCGTCAGGCTGTTGCTGTAAGGGTCGATGCTACCGGGCTTTTGGTCGATGGAACAGCCTGAGTGTAAGAATATATCAATGATCATTTAATTTAGAAATCTAGAGGAGTGTCAGAAATACTTGGACGTTATCGTCTGGATGAACAACAGAAGGAACATTTCTCCATTTGACCAACCTGTGAAGACTTCCGATGGGTCAGTGCAGTAGTCTCGGCAAAACAGTGAACCGATAGGACCTTGATAATGGCACAGCAGAGGATCAATGGCCACCTCCATGTCCGCTTCACTTCCTGTATCCATCTGACAAAGACCTGTGTGGGTGAAGGAACAGTGTTTAGTAAGAAATACTGCAGAATAACTCAAATACAGGACAAAGAAGAACGGGAAAGTGTATTACCATTCATGTCTTTAGGTTGCAGGTAAAAGCCGCTAATGGACGAGGACATGTACTGATGATGACTGCTGCCACTCTCTGATGGGATGTAGCCGTCTTGTCGATCTGCCAGTGTGCCCTGGGAGGACAGGTAGCTTGGAATGTCGGCAGGCAGGTTGGTCTCATCTGAAGCAAAAGGACATCAAGGTCAGTTTTATCACTACTTAATGTGGTAAGAAGAAATCAATTGGCCATCTTGAACCGACCTGTATTTGTGACGCTGCAGTCCTCGTTGCGCCGCCTGGTGTGGTAGATGATCACCACCCAAACAAGCGACGTGCCCACCACGCAGCAAACAACCGCTATGATGACAATCCCCACTGTGGTCCACCCGTCGTCATCCGATCCTGCCCCGCCGATGATGCCGACTCCCACGCCGCCCTGAACTCCGGAGTCGCAGTTAGGATTCGGTATCACCGCCAGGCGAACGTTCCCCCGCTCGGTGCCCAGCGCGTTGGACATCTCGCAGGTGTACTTCCCGGCGTCGGCCTCGGCAGCGTCGACGATGATGAGGAGCTGGTTGGCCGCGGCGAAAAAGTGTCGCTCGGTCACAACCAGCGGGCTGTCGTCTTTGGTCCAGTTCAGCCTCGGGGGAGGGCTGCCTCCGGCGATGCACTGGAGAACTGCAGTCTCTCCCTTTGCCACAGTGCGATCCATGAGGGGCCGCAAGAAGGAAGGCGTTTCTGTACAAAAAAGGGGAGAAAATGACGTTAGCGTTACAAATACAAAAGTTAAAGTGACTCATCTGTGGCTTTCAGTTTCCAACCGTTCTGTTTCTTACCGAGAACAGTTAGTGTGGCATTTGCAGAAATAGCTCCAGCTGTGTTCTGAGCTGTGCAGCTGTAAACCCCGATGTCTTCAGTCTTGACGTCCACGATGAAAAACACGTCATCCTCGGGCATGACGTGCATGCGGCGCTCTCGGGCAGCAGGGAAGTCTGTGCCTCCGTCTTTCTGCCAGGCGATCTGGGGGGAAGGGTGACCGACAGCGGCGCACTCCAGCCTGGCTGTTGCACCAGCCCTGATGCTCAGGTCCATTGGCATCTTGGTGAAGGAAGGCATCACTGGGAAAAGAGGAAAACGACCTTCAGATTTGCTCACTTAAAACTTTCACTGATAGATAAGAAAATATCCAACAATGTTCTTTTCCCTTCCCACACTTACTGTTGACAGTAAGCCTGGCCTTGTTGGAATAGGACGATCCAAAGTGGTTTGAGATGACGCACTGGTACTTCCCCTCACTGGAGAACTCCACATTGCGTAGCTGCAAGGTGGTTGTATACTCTGTCACCTCAGTCTCGCCTCCTGCGCCACCCTGCACCCGCAAGTGGGCCTGGTTGTGGATCTCTGCATCATTTAAAACCTCATTGTCTTTCTTCCAAGCGAAGGTCATCGGTGAATCACTGGAGCTGGCTGCCGAGCAGACGAACGTGACATTGGTGCCTTTGAGGGCTGACTGGGTCTCTGGCTGCACGGTGATCTGAGGCTTTGGGAAGTCATCTTGGCAGAAAAAGAAAATAGAAAAATGTCAAGACTGCGAAACTCAAAAAGTTCTCAGTATTTAGATCTTGAATTGGTTTAAAAATATTTGGTATGTTTTGGGGCTTTTGCGGAGATATGAGGCTCTGAAAGAGAGAAATTGAAGTGAAGTTTTATCCCCTGATGCTGCCCAGGAAAGTCGAAACTTTGTACATTTCCATAACTGTTCCTTCCCAAGACTCATTAGCGTGTCCAGGAATCAGGAAGGAAAAAATCTGGGTCAGTTTGTAAATGGAAAAAACTTACCATGGATAAATGGCTGTTTTTTTTTTTTTTTTAAGGCATTACAGTATGTTTGTGTGAAGGTGTTGCGCCTTATGAATGCATCACTCACCACACACAAACTCCTCCTGGCTGACAGCGAACAGGCTCCTGCCCTTCAGCATCTGCGGGTGGGCACAGCTGGCGTTGACGCAGGGCTGGAAGGTTTGTTCCGCCACCCAGACGGGGAGCCACTTCAGCTGGCAATCGCACAAGAGGCTGGAGGTGTTGAGACGTCTGCCAAGGGAGGAGATTACAGAGACGTTTCATTAAAAATTTAATAAAAAGCGTGTGAAGGGAGTTTTGATTTTGTCTGGCTCGGGCGGGAACAAAACTTGTCAAACATAAGATCCATTATGTTGCAATAAAAATCAATAAACTCCTTTGCATACACTTTCAGCTTTACCAAGTGACACAAAGGGAATGATTTTTTATTCTGGGGGCCGGATGGGAAGCTCTGGGGGGGCCAGATGTGGCCCGCGAGCCACCAGTTGATGATCACAGCAGTAGACCATGATGACTTTTACCTGGTCGTCTGTCCTACATCATTTCTGAAACACTCTCTAAAGCTTAAACAAGATCATACTTACAGCTCCAGCAGGTTCTTCATCTGAGAGAAGGCGTTGGCTTGGATGGACATGATAGCGTTATTACTCAAGTCTCTGCGGAGCAAAGAGAAAAGAAATCAGGACTTGCAAGATCCTCAAAAAAAATTAAATAAAAATAAAGACAGCGGCTTTTTTTTCTGCCAACATCAACCGAGTGCGGAGTGAGGGATTCAGAAACTTCAATCAGGGAGATGAAAAAAAAAAAAGGTCTGGGCTCCAGAACAATAAAAACTCTGGGCAGCAGTTTTTCTGTGTTAATCAAGAGAGGCCCAGCTCTGGGCGGCTCTGAGCTCTCTGGCAACTGCTGGGAAAGAAAACTCTAATCAGAATCAAATGCAGCTGTCGTACACACACACACACACACACACACACACACACACACCGTTTTCCCTTCGCTTGCCTTGCTGATCGATAAAGTCTGGTACACGCATAAAGATACTGAAGGCAAGTTTTTTTTCTTCATCCCACATCAAAGGGAAGGAATGGGGAGAAGACTGTACGTCTCTGACAAACAGCCTCTGTGTCTCAGTCTCAGTGTGATTCACCCTGCTTGGTTAACTCAGCTCAAACTTTTTGGAAACAATCGGTGAAACAGGAGGTGAAACTCACAGGTGTTGTAACGCGTCCAGGCCAGAGAAAGATTTCTTGGTCACTGAGCGGATCTGGTTCCCCTGCAGAAATCTAGGAGAATTTAAAAAAAATAAAAATCGGATTATTTCCCAACCTCCCTTTTATGCCTGTTCAGCCATATTCTCTTCATATCCCACTGTCGTTCAAACAGAGGTGAAACTTGTTCCATCGATGGATTCATGAACTCACAGTTTTTGCAGCTTGTCCAGAGCAGAGAAAGGTCCGTTCATGTCTTCGATGGTCCAGGAGATTTCATTATTTTGGAGGTCCCTTCCCAAAGAAACAAAGACAGACCGCATTTAAAAAAAAAACCCCACACCCAGAAAACAACTGCACTCTGCTGCGTTAATAAAACTGTATGCGGCTTTACATTTCACGTGATGGGGGGAAATGTTTGAGACTTTGAAGATTATATTCAAAGCGGTTCCGTGCCAAACAGGAAGTCCCTTTGTGGCTTTTGCGGCACTTTTTTTAAAAGTCTGTGAGGGCTGTTCTCTGCTGTACAGAAAAAATAAGTTTTACAAGAGAGTGCTGTGATATAACATGTGAGCGGCTTTTTGGGCGTCATTTAGGGGGGAGGGGTGGTAGCTATACTCTGCATGCTACTTAAATTGCAACAAAACCTTTTATCCATTACATACACACGCTGTGATATTTAACACATTCTATGGATTCAGGTGTGACCAAGAGAGTCTCGTTTAGACTCACATGTGAAGAACTGGGGTTCAAAATCAGTGAGTGTGGTGTTTTATTAACTCCAAATTGAGGAGCTCCTCACAATATAACTACATCAAGCTAGGCCTCTTAAGAAGTGCTGCACACGCTCCTCATCTATCCACCACAACAAAACTCATGAAATTGGTCTCTTTGCCTTTCTCTCAAATGGACATATCCCTGTGTGATCTTGGCACATCAGGGCAAAATTGCAGCCGCTATCAGCAGAGAGAAAAAATACACCAAACAACTAAACACACAGCATTAGAGTCGTCCATCACTAAAAGCCAAGAATTTACCAGAGAAATGGCCTCCTTTGATCCCTCAGCTGCTCTAATGCTTTCAAACAGTTATTTTTCCTCCTTCGCCATGCCTGGTTATGGCTGATTGAGATTGAGGAAGGGTGTGTGTGTGTGTGTGTGTGTGTGTGTGTGTGTGTGTGTGTGTGTGTGTGTGTGTGTGTGTGTGCGTGTGTGCAGGAGGGGGGTGGTTGTGATTTGGAGCCCTGAAGCAAAACATGTCCACCTAGCTTGCACACCTGCCCTACGGTGACCTCAGCAGCACAGCTCACATTTGGTTCCAGTTAAAAAAATAAAAAAAGTTAAAACTAGGGGGGATGTTGTGAAGCCTGAGTGGGAAAGGGGGATGGGTGGGTTGATGTGTGTGTGTGTGTGTTTGAGAGGGGGGTTGAGGTCGGTGAGCTGTGCCTTTTGGAGGGTTTTTTTTTTTTTTATGTGTGTGTGGAGAGACCTCAACACAGTAATCTATTTCACATCCCCCGAAACAAATCAGGCAGGATATTTCCACTCAGGCAGAGGATTGATGTTGGAGGTGGATTTAACAAGGGGGTGGGGAAATTAGAGCAACACATGAAGAACTTAAAGTCTTTAAAGGGGACTTGTATATTGTACCGTTTGAGCTGGTTGAAAAAAGCCGAATCACACAAAGTACTATTTAGCCGAAAGGAAAAGTTTCACCCTTAAGAAATATTTGATTGTTAGGCCAAAGACAAGATGAGAATACTAATGCCACTGTTATGTCTGCACAATCGGTATGAGGCTTGGGTTGGAAGAGGATCGTGTTAGCTTGGAACAAAAGTTCAATAAGTCAACATGTTGTATCTTGTTTTTTTAATCCGTACAAAAAATGTGGGGTACAGATGAAATCTTGTGTTTTAAGTAACTTCATGAAGTCTTGGTTAGCTCTCTGGTAATCTTACAGTGATGGCAACCCACACAAATTAGCCATAAGCTATCGATCATTTTGAGTGTTTAAAGACAGAGTCAGTTACTTTTTCCTCTAATACATAGTAAAAAAAAGTAACGCCACACAATCATCACTGATGGGCCTCCATGGTGACTGTGTCCTCTTGCCTGTATTTTGATGTTTTGGTTGACATTAGATTTCTGCTAAGAGAGTGGATGTGTATTTGTCATTTAGTTGCAAAGGCTGGAATTAGGATTTTTGGTTGCATCTGAATGGGGTTTAGGTTGGAAAATGTGCCTGAAGTGGTATTGATTTCATTAGAAATGAAAGACATTTTTCCTGCACTGTTTAGTATATTTGCAGTTTGATTGATTTTGCATTCAACTCACAGCATGTGCAGGTTGGAGAGGCCCCGGAAAGCTCCGTCTGCGATGAAGCTCACGCGGTTGTTTCCGATGTGGAGCTCATCCAGCAGGCTGAGGCCCACGAAGCTGGACTCCTCCAGTCTGGACAGATGGTTGGAGATGAGGTTTCTGTAGGACGACACGACACATTTCATAAGAACACTGCCCATGAAGTCCAAAGAGTACACAAAAAGCAATCAATGACTGTGATATATTTGAATACACATCACATCTTTTACCAATTAGCATCCCATGGTTAGCCCCTAGGGGTCTGGCAGGAGAAACTCTGGGTGAAGTCTGAGTGAAAAAGTTGGCTGTTTGCGTTCACACATGCAGTTTCCTTCAGGAGTTTTTCAAGTGTGAAAGCCCTATAAGTTAAACATACAGCTTCCCTTCCTTAAGATGCAGGTCAAAAAGCCTTACATGACTTTTACTGATCTCTAGCTTCTCCCTTGAAAAATGGTTATGAATGTCTAAGAAGCAAATTATTGTGAGAGGCCTGTTTTTAAGTAAACTCAGATTGGAAATAAATCAGATAGCTTGGCACGCTTCCAGCCGACAGGCGGCTTGTTTACTCTCAGGTTAATGTGATAAGAGAGAGAGAGAGAGAGAGAGAGAGAGAGAGAGAGGAGCCGGGAGGGGAAAGAACAACAACCTTTCTGTGAGAAAAGAAAAAAAAAAAAAAACACTCCAGACACTGGAAATCACTTAAACTGACCGCCGCTGTAAACAACAGCCACAACAAAGGAATCCAATCTGCCTGCAGGAATGCGACTTGATGGGTGGGAAACGCTTAAGCTTGTGGGTAAAGTAGTATTTCACAAGAAACTGCAATTAATAATGGAATTTCAAAAAGAAAGAAAAAAAAAAACATGGGACATGATTTGGCTGAAGAGAAAACAGAACAGAGAAGAGGCAAAGGGGTGTGTAATATGCTGGCAATGCTTTAATGTAGACACTGACTGGCAGAGCATAAGAGACGCTGCTTTGTGTGTGTGTGTGTGTGTGTGTGTGTGTGTGTGTGTGTGTGTGTGTGTGTTCGTCGCTGGGAGTTTGTGTGTGTCGGGAGATTGGCGACGAGAGGAACTGGAGTGTGAGGAAGGGCAGGCGGGAGTGCCAGAGAGGATGAGAGGGCGACACAGAGACGTGTTGGGAGTTCAGAGTGTGAATGGAAAGTGAGCAGGGAATAACGAGAGGGAGGGGGGCTAAAAAAAAATAAAAGAGAGAGAGAGAGAGAAAGAGGGCGGGGGGGGGGAGAGAGAGGGAACTCACAGCTCGCTGAGTTTCTGGCAGAACTCCCAGGCGTCAGGTCGGATCCTGCTGATGGCGTTGTGGCCAAGGTGGAGCTGCTGCAGAGTCAGCAGGCCGTACAGCCAGCCTTTACTCACCTCCGTCAGGTTGTTGTAGTCCAGCTGCCTGCAGGCCCACACACACACACACACACACAATCAGACTTTTTGTACCAAAATGGGACACTAAAAACTTCATGCACATCTCTTGTAACTTTTTTCTTACAGGACTTCCATGTTGCTGAGGCCCCAGAAGGCTCCGTCCATCAGGCGGCTGAGTCCGTTTCTCTGCATCTTTAAGGAGCGGAGAGCGTGCAGGCCGTGGAACGTCAGACCCTCCACCCTGCGGACGCGGTTCCTGCTCAGCTCCCTGAAACGCACAAGGAGCACGAGCAAAGAGGGTGAGGTCAACTGTACGGTTTGACTTGTATTCAACCATTCTATGTAAATTCATTTCACATATCCCAATAGCTGCACTGATTTCATGGTGGAGGCTTCAGAAGCAGCTGCCAGAGAAACTCAAAGTCTGGTCAGCTCATTAATGATGACATAACCCTGGAACATGCACTTTTTTCCCCTTAAACGTCACTACCCTGTCAGCAAACTGGATCTGTAAAATCATACACTGGCATGCGGATTTATTGTTAAGCTGTCTGCCAATCAAGGAAGCCGAGCAATGGTAGAGAAAGAGAGAGAGGGACAGAGACATTGAGTAATTTATTGTAATCTTTAGTCATCAACTTTTTACAAATGACCAGCTTTGAAAAAGTTTGGCAGAGAGGGTGATTCTGAATAAAATGTCAACATCAGGGTAGTTTTCAAAAGAGTCAAGATGTTTAGAAGTCACATGACAAATTCAAAAGGTGCGATTGTGATATTTCTGGAATTAAAAAGGTACAAAATAAAGCTTACAGGTGCTGGAGGTTGGGCAGCTGGAAGATCTTGGCCGGGATGGTGGAGAGGCGGTTGCGGTTGAGCCGGAGAACCTGCAGACTGCTGGACAGGTTGGTGAAGCAGCCCGTCTCCATGGAGGAAATGCGATTATTGTTCAGGAAGCTGACGAAAGAAAAGATTGAACAATGTTGGCTTCAAATGTGGAGACACGGGGAGGAAGTCAAAAAAGTACTCCCAAGAAACAATAAGTGCTGACCTAACAAAACACAGAGTGGAGCTATAATGTGTGATTGGTTCATATGTTCTCCTTCGGCTGCATACAATACACACACACACACACACACACACACACACACACTGGGGATACTCACAGGTTCTTGAGCGGCAGAGCGGGGAACGAGCTGGCCTTTATATCCACAATGTTGTTGTTGCTGAGGTCGAGCGTTTCCAGGGCGAGCAAGGGCCTGAGCTGCTCCTCTGAGATCCTGCTGATCCTGTTGTTTGCTCTGAAAACACAGACACCATCACTCCAATAAATGACAAAAATACTGTGTATTTGACTAGTGGCGCACATCAGTTTCAAGTTTCCATACACAAACTGTTGAGTCCTCAATTAGTCGCTGGTGTAAAAAAAAAAGATAAACTCTCACGCAATTCTACGGCCAAAAACTTACCACCCAACATGAGTACATGACGGGCCTTTTCTTTTTTTTTGCTGATGTTGCATGCATGTACCAACAATGCTTACAAATTGCTCAGTTGGATCAATGTTGCTGCTCCCCACACCGACTCCCAACAACCTTTCCATTTATTGATGTGTTATTTTGTTTATAAGGTAATTACCAACAAGGTATTTAAAAAAAGTAACCTGCCAATTACTTGGCTGATGAATACCATTCCCTCAGTGAAAGCATGCCTCGGCAGAGGACAGCAATTTCCTGAGCTGCACGCCTCCTAAATTGCAGTGCAGGGACTGCTTAGTTATAAACAGAGCCTGTACAGTGCCCTCTTTGTGTATGGGACTCGGCTATAGAGAGAGAGAGTGAAGAGGTGGGGGGAAGCAGGAATTCCCTCCAATACACCAGACTACAGGCCTCGTTTTCAGTATTCATTGGGATGGCTGAAGACACCCCCCCCCCACCCCACCCCCACTCCAGCTACACCTTACTGACCAGAGGGCTGTTAGCTTTTCTCATTCACTTTCCAACACGTCTATAATATAACAACTTGAGGAAAGTTTCATTTGGAATGCGGTGTCTTACGGACCCACAGTGCAGACGGCTTCTGTCGAGTGACCTGATCAGTCCACGGCTGAAGGGTTAAGTGGATCTTTCAGAATATGCTCGATTGTTTCATACATTTTTTTGGTAAAAAATGCCAATAAATGACCAACTTTCAGATTCTCTGTTGAGTTTCAATAAGGCTTGTGTAATAATAAAAGGGTCATTCGGTCTGAGTGAGTGAAACACAAGATGATGATTTTTTCCATTGATATTTATGGTCTTGGTCTTGGCTCGGTCTTGCCCTGCCTTGGTCTTGGTCTTGACTTGGTCTTGATCCCTAAATGTCTCAGTCTTGTCTCGGTCTTGGAGCTCTCTGGTCTCGGGTATGTCTTACTCTTGGTTACTGTGGTCTTGACTTCAACACTACTTAACGCTGAGACTGTTAACAAAATAAGTTATTTAAAGACACACACTTGGTCTGAAGTGAATTGTAATCTGTATTTTTCTCAATTTCTGTCAGATTAAAGACCATGATTTATTAAATAATTTGGGAAAATAGTCTGGAGATTATTTTGAATTTACAGTAATGGTTTGTTATATTGCTTTATGTAAAAGGTGATTTCAGATTGGAAAGGTAAAGAGTTTGGACACACAAATAAAGGCAAAAATCATCAGCATAAAAGAGAACTTTCATTGCCAAACGACCTTATAATCACGGCACAATAAAAGTCGAAGATTGTCTCTCTTGAAACCAATATTTGAAAAGAAAAACATCTGTTCGTATTTGAAGGTGTCTGGTTTCATCTCTTCACTCTCCCCGACTCTGCTGGTTAATCTAATCTGTATCTCAGATTGAAGTCTTTGGTCCTTCAGGCGGAATGGCATCATGGCACCACACTGCTGTGCAACTCAGATGTCTCACCTGGTAAAAAAAAAAAAACCCACACTGTGGTAACTAACTCTGACCCATTTTCCACTTGTGTTTCAAGCTATCGGAGCACACGTTTCCATGGCAACAAGTAACCCCATTCGGAAAGTTCAACACCTTTTGGAAATCTCCTGATTCGAATGCACAGAAGGGAAGACTCCCCGAGTAAATAAATATCTGAGATGGATGGCAGCCTGGAGAGCTTGGCAGGACTTTGGGGCAATGGCGGATAAAAAACCCACCAGAGCTTGTTCCTGAGCTAAGCGCTTGAGTCAACATTGGTTCAGTGACATGAAAAGACACTAGGCTAAGGGGAAAGCTGGTAAGCTTGTTTTATGAACATGAAGCACATTTTATGAAGAACTGAAACTGCTGGAAATTTGAAAATCAAATCACTGATGGCTGAAATTTGCGATATTTTTAGCAGGAGTTTGGTGTGTGCTTAAAGGCAAGCTAAGGTAAAACACTTCCCTTTCTCTCCTGCTGAATAGTTTTTGGGAGGTTTTAAATGACCTTACAGTGAATGAGGTTCCATTGATATAAATGTTAAGCCACTTGAGGCAAAGTTATTATTTGTGATATTGGGCTACAGATATAATATTGATGTGATTGAAATTGTTGGAAGCAGCTGAAAACATCAAAACATAAAGAACGTTGCGGTGTGCAGTATGTACTGTAAAATACAGATCATTCTCTGCAATAAAAAAAAGTGCACAGGCAGCTCTTTTGTCTGCAGATTTGCAGAGGGCTTTCCATGCACCACAGCCCCTGAGTCCCAAACAAAAGGGCTGCACACCACCTGTATCTCAGTTTTCATGTTTACCTTGACTGGTCGCTGAGAGAAGGCAGGTCGCCTGGTGAGAAAGAACCAGTCTTTCCAGTTTCTCTCAGGGGGAAAGTAGAGCCAGATAGAGGGGCTGGTTGAGGACAGGAAAGTAGACCCTGGAGTCCAAAATCAGGCCAACTAAATATTCCATTATCCTATAAACCATGTCAGATTGGTCATATTAATTCACGACAAGACATTCTTCTGTAATCCACCTTTAAACCACCGTCTCAGCATGGTTGTCTTAGTGGACAGGTCATTGCAAAACCTGGGACAACGTAAAGTTAACCCTACTTTTTCTCTCTGCCACTCATGAGTCACTCGGTCTTCTTCCCCTCCACAAAAACAAGCAGAACATTGGACTCTTCACACTTATAATTTCTTTATCCACTTTGCTATCAGATAACGTGATTATGGAGCCATTACATCTGTGGTTTAGAGGCTTTTGCTGCTGTTAGTGGAAGCCAATGGAAGGCCAAGCAATGTGTCAATAACAGCCCGAGGTATCTTGGGCAATGATAAAATATGTACTTATTTGACTGAGGCAAGCAGCAGATGCTTTAAATCAGCGCTGTAGTCATGGCTACCACAGTGTGTGTGTGTGTTTACCACTTTTAAAGCATGTGTGATGAGATTTTAGCTGGTTATGAAATAGGCTGAAATGAATATTGATGGCTATTTATAACCTAGAAAAGCATATGAGAGCCTTTTCGATAAGATTGATTGATTCTATGTCCTTTTTTTTATGCCTGAAACCGCTGTGAGGGGGCAGGTGTCAGACGCTGCTGAAACAGCAATCTCAACACCGGAGCTTTAAAGTCAGTATAAAGTTCCTAATTTTTTAATATCTCTGCCTTCCCGGGCTGTTGAAAACTCAAATATTTCTAGAAATTCAAAAAGTGTTTGAAATGTGAGTAAAACCATTTGCATTCTTGACTAAACTCCACAATATTTTCAGCCTTCCACAACCATCAAACTGACCACATTCACACGCTGCTGTTATGCTCTAAAGATGCCTGATGAAGTTTTTGTTGTTAGCTTAACTCTGTCCACTCATGCTTTTAATAGTGGAAGCTCTTTAAATGTAACGTATCTCTTTTCTCTGGCAGTTTCTCTCAAACTGTTTGAGACGGGTTTTGTGTGTGTGTGTGTGGTATTTCCTATTGGAAAAAGAACAGAGTTTTTGAAAAGCCATCTGATGACTCCCTCTCTCTTCAGTGGCGCCTGTAATGAAAACCAGGGCTGCGTTTGCTTTTGAGACGCCATTATTAAACAGTGCACATATCTCACTCACATGGCTGATCATCTTAACACGTCTGCGCCCAGTCGGAGTGCAGAGATCCGGGGATTGTATTAACATGTGGGATTGAGGGACCTTCACATAAAAAGACTGGGGAGCTGTTCAATTCTTCATGCATCAGCATATTACTGTTTAGCCTGCAATACTAAAAAAAAACATCAGTATAAAATCTGTCATAAGCTTGAAACAGCTCAGATGATAACTTTAGATTTGGCTTTTGTTTTAACTTTTTTTTTCAAAATTATCTAAAATTGTATGTATCCTGATTTCTCATTTCTCATTCATGTTTAGAAAAAAATCACAAATTATTTCAATAATTGCAACAGTTTTGGTTAGTTATTCTAATTTTTAACAAGGTTCCCCATTTCCGTAGACAAATTAAGAGGTTCATCCAACTAATCAGACCTGGAATCTCCAGGTCATTTGTTGACCCCCCCCTAGAACACAGGCGGTGGGGCTTACCCCCTCCATAAATTCCAGGGAAATTGTTCAATTAATTAAGATGATCACCGCTCAATTACTACCAGCTGCAGGGTTATTGCCGTTTGTTTTTACTCGGAGCTGCGAGGTCAAAGAAGTCGACGAGAGCTGCCGCTATGTCTGACTGGCTGTTTGAATAAGTGGTATTCGATACCCCGAGGTCTTTTTTTTCTCTTCTCTTTACTACCCTCCCAGCTCGCAGAAACTGAAGAAGGGAAAGAAATTTCTGGAGAAGAAAAAAAAAATCACACAGCATCACCTTAGCTGAAGAAGGAGGGCGGCAGCCGAGACAGACTGTGTGAGATTGAGAGCCAGTGTGAATGTCTTTTTCTGTGTGCTCTCTTTCTTCATAACACTTGCGAGTCACTAAAAATCAATTATGCTGCCGACTTCCCCAGGTGACTAATCATATAGATTTATAATATGTAATCTCTTTTGGGTTTGACTACGGAGATTTTAAAGAGAAACTTGTTGGTTCAAAACCAAAGTGGCTAATAGCAATGGTTCTGTTATTCTACATTGAAATACATTTCCAGACCATGCATACTATGTTTTTATAATGACAAAATCTCTTAACATATATGCTTTCGTTGTGTCTCTTTTCTTTGACATTAGATGCTAGAATAGTCTCGAACTGGAGTGTGTTAAAGAAGCACAGATGAAAACTCACTGACCGGAGTGACTGGAGGGAAATTACAAAAAAAAAAAAAAATATCTGAAAACATTAGTGTGAATATAATTCTTTGTAAGAAATATAACATTTCCTTGGCAGTTTTTTGAGGGTAAGCAAAAGAATAGCTAACTTGTTGAAGCATTAGCATTTGCTTTAAATGCTTCATTTCATGGCTAACGCTTCACAGGCATGAATACTAGCAAGCTAACAGAAGTCCTAGCATTAGGCTACCTCTTGAACTTCCTGTCTAGTTCACTGAACATTACTGTTACCATGGCTAACTTAATGTGGTTCTCATTCTCACAAAAAAGTACAGAATTAGTCAAAAACATTGACAAAAAAATGTTTAGCAACAAAACACACCCTAGCACTTGCTGCTGGTTTGTCCCTTATGGTACAACAAATAGCTATTTTTTGCACATGCTAGCTACTGTTAGCACATTGTTCTTGGTTCTTTTGTAATAACAAAGTCTTAAAATGAAGAATATGTGTTCATAAGGTGCTTATCTTAATAGTGAATCATATTTTTTCATTTGATATGGTTTGAGGAAGCATAGGTCAGGGTTGTCATTTTCAAAATTGCTAGCTTAAATTCAGAAACATGAAGAAGCTCATCAATTAGCATTAGCTATGACAAAAAACAAAGGGGATCCTCACATATACTCCTTATACTTCCATTTATTAACACTTCAGTTAATATTACTTGATTTTGTTTTAAAGCTACAGGAATGTGTCTAATGTTCACAGTTTTGTATGTTTCACTAAAGTTATATTGTAATATTTTCTTTAAAAAAAGAATAGAAAGAAATAAGTGTTTGTACATGTTATTCTGTATCTCAGAGTTCTTTAAATTAAAAAGATAAGCTGTGGTATTTTCTGGATAATTTCTAGGCAGAGTTTACATGACACAGTTTGGGGTAAACTAAACTGAACAACGTGCTCAAATTCAATAAAGAAATTATGGTTTGGAGAGAATCTGAAATTCTTGAAGTGAATCTATGCAGGAACTCTGCACTTAAATCCGAGGTCTCTTAATCTGGACAGAAAACGTAGCAATTGTGGCTGATGGTCCTGTGACCTCAGTCAAACCACAAAAGAAACAAAGCAGCACATCAGGTGTTACCATTGGTACAAACAAAAAAATCATATTTTTCCTCTTGGGCCAAAGTATCAAATCCACATTTAAATCCAAATCATAGTCACCAGGTGCATTTGAAATACGCTCCCTTTCAAAGACTGCAGCAAAATGCAACACCTAAGGTGTTAGAACCACCCCACCCTTCTAACTCTGCTGAGACGCATCGCTAAAGGCAACAGTTTTTTGCTAAATGTGCAAACAAATTGTCGATGGCGGACGCCTGCACGCCCTGCGGCTGCTGTAGAGCGTCTTGTCAGGGCTTGATGAGGAATACGCCTCATCAAGCTGGGGAGACGGATACATTTTTCCACTATAACTTCACGTCGGTTGGTTTTGGAGAGGCATGCCACTGAAAGCAAATAAATTGTTGAGGTTTCACACACTAATATCTGGTTCTCTTCTTGGAGCACGTATTGCACAACAATATCCCAACAGAACCCTCTGGTTAAAGTCTGAACAGGATGAGATCTGACAAGTTAAAAACTAAAGTAAACTTATTCCCATAGTGCGAGCCATGCACCTTAAGACACTGTTGGTTATCTATATGCTGAACCCAAATCTGGATTTACTGTCTTTTTTTTAAGGCAAAAGAACTCGAAGTTGCAATGTTTCAGACAAATTGCCATTTGTTTCAAAGTCCCATAAAAGGGCCACACAGTAACTTGTGATCCACCCACTGAAGATTCAACATAAAAATCACCAAATTTGGATTTCTCCCATTTGTACTCGATCATTTGTCTTTCTTTCCAGCGGCACGTCACTGCACCCTGCGTTAAAAATACACCAAAAAGCAGCGACAGCCACCAGACAAAACATTTCCATTTCTGTTGATGGCATTTGTCTTGGAACCACGTGACCCGTCTGGGGCTGGCTGCCATGTCTCCGACTGCCCTGTCTGGGAACCAGCTCAACCAAATGGGGCTGCTCTCCAGAGGGAAGGAAGGGTGGGGGGGAGGAACCACTTTGCTCCCTACTTAAACCAGCAATGACAACCCTGGCACAGGAAAGCACTTCAAACCAGGCCACGGTCCAGAGATGAAATCATAGAATTTCAGAAAAGTTTCACTTACAGAATGAGCGCTGTGATGTTTGAAGCGTACGGGCCCAAATCAGGAATTGCATCCAGTTCATTGTTGTTCAGTTTTCTGTGCACAGCAGGAAAAAAAACGATGGAATCAAAAGAACAGTTCCTTGCAAGCGGAACCAAAATGAAAGTTTTCGAGAAAAACAAACTCAAACTTACACTTCACTTAGATGTTGTAGGTTGGAAAACAAAGAGCTGTCAAGCACCTGCAATCTGTTATGGCTCAGGTCCCTGTGAAGAAAAAGAAAGCCGCAGATGAAGGGAAAATTGAGTTTCCATTTGAGTTTCAAACACAATTATATACAAATTTTCTGTGTTATTGTGTCTAAAACGCTGCGAACAGAGTCGAGGGATCAAAGGAAAATCACTACAGTTAAAGCTTGAAATGGTGAAAACGTACAGTTATGAAATTAACCATAATGACTAGGAGAATACACAAGAATAAGAATGATTGCTGACACCCTGTCATGAGCAGGAGATATCCAATCGTTTTGTGAGTGGCATCTTAACACAACTGAAAATTGTGAAATACAACCCCTAAAAAAGGCAAGCTAGCTAAAGGCATTTGTGGCATTTCCAACCCTTTTTAAGGACAACACAACAACTGCCAAGACGTCTAATTTCATATCAATGCTGCTGCTGAGAAGCAGATACAAAACAGGCAGATGAAGGAGCCAGACTCCTTTGGGCTTAAAGGAGGCCAAAACCTGCTGTGGAGAGTCAAGGTTTTATTGATGGGGCCTTGTCCAGGCCTTTTTTCTGGTGTCTACTCTGGACTCCTATATTCCTATTTTAAGTTTATATTTACACACCTTGAATTCAAATTTTACAGATTGAAAACATCTACTTACATCGCTATATGCTTTCCTCTTTTAAGCAACAGTGTTAATATTTGAATCCTCAACTAATTTATGTTGATTGGTCACAGTTCGTTTCTAAACGTGTCATTTTTGGTGACTTCTTAATCAATGTTCGCACATGAAGAAGGGCGTGTGGGTAGGTTGTTTACTGCTTGTTCTTGTCTTTAAGTAGCAGATTATTATTAGTCCTGGTATATGTCTTCATTTGGTCTGAAGCTTCCTTGGATCTGGGCCTGAGTCTGGTCTTGGAAGCAGGCCTGGCTGCAGCTCGCTCAAGAGTGAGATTCTTGTTTTTGTTGCCTGTTTTGAAAAAGGAGCCTGAAAACCAGCTCAAGGAGTCTGGCAAGAAGAGCCTCATGCGCCATAAAGTGGTGGAGTTATTGACGCTGCTGCGCACGATCAACGCTGTGGTGCCAGACGCTTTTTTTTTTTGCACCCCCTCACCCTCTACCCCTCCCCCTCCTTACCTCCCTCATCTGGAATCCATCAAGGAGCTCTGGGAGGAGGGGAAGAACCTATCAACTGGTAATGTATTCACAATGCCGGGAAAAGCGAGAGGGACGCCTTCCATACGTCTAAAACACCCCTGCTGAATTTTCTGGGGCCTGTTTTTTGTTTTGTTTTTTTTTGTTCTTTGGTGGAAACTTTCATGAAACCACTCAACCAGAGTTTTACTCGCCTTGCTACAGCTAACCCTCGCCCCGTCCTTCTCCTTTGGTTTCCAAGCATGGGACTGTGCGTTGTTGTTGTTGTGGTTCCAGTGCTAGGGGCCATATGGGAAAAGGTGTCCTATCATACTCCCTAGATAAAACCTAAGTAGCTCTGACACTTCCACTTCCCTCACAAAGCAGGCTCTGAGCGGAGCAAGATAACACAGTGCTGCGTACAGGCTGCAGCCTGTGTCTGCCGCTCTGCTGGAAATGTACAGACCGACTTCCTTATCAAAGACTGAAAGGTGAATAAATGAGCCACTCTTTACTTTACAAGAGCTGTCAGTAACTTCTTAGATTATGAGAATGAGCCCTAGCAGCAGACTTCAACTAAGTTCAAATTTGGCAGGCAGTAACACCTGTGTGGATTTAAACCAAAGACAACTTTTAAAATGCAACATGCTAGCCAAATAGCATGTTTGAATCACAAAGAGCAAACTTTTGTTAAAAGAAAGAAAGCCCAAGTAGCATTCATGTTTTTTAAAAGGACCATGACATTTGTGATTATCAAGGTCAGTATGATAATCTAGAGCCTACTAGCTTTTAGCTATTCGCCAGAGTAGCCTACACAGTTGGCACAGAATAGCTCACATAACTTTGATGTGAAACCACTGAACCTTTCCTTATTCTTACCATAAAAAATGGTTATCTGAGTGGAAATCAATCAAATTCCCAAAATAAGTACAGAAAAGGCGACTTTCTTGAAGGGGTTTGTGTACTCTTAGCATTTGGTCCTAACACAGAGCACCGTGATTCCTAATTCACTGACATTTCTAGCTAGTTTAAATCAGGCATGCTAGGTAGCTAACCAGGAAGCTAACTTCTTTAAATTCAGCATTAGCTATGCAGCAAACTCTAGAAATGTCCAGCTACCCTTGATGCTCTTGTGTTATAAACCAAGCTTAGGTATAGTGGTACTCACCTCTTCAATATTACCTACAAAAGCTATTCAAAACAACTATACAAGTAGCTAACAAGAATTAGCATAGATACTAACGTAACATTTGAACTGTACAGGACTTCTAATTCATTGCAATTCCTAGCTAGTTAAAATCAGGCATGCTAAGTATGCTAGGTAGCAAACTTCTTGAAATGTAGCATTAGCTTTGCCACAAACTCCAGAGATATCTACCTCTACTTGTACTTCTTATCTTATTCACCAAGGTTAGTGGTAGCCTACATGGTGAAATTGACACCTAAAATAAATATTAGCTAGAATAGCTTTTCAAGACTGCTACATAAGTAGCACTTAGCTAACAAAAATTAGCATAGGTTTTGATGCAAAACCTTTGTTACTGCTGTGTACCGCCTGCCTTACTAAACAAGTAGGCTAAATGTGGCTCTTTAACTCAAATATAAAAATGGGAACGTGTGTCCTTTCTGACAGAAACTTGTGTTGTGTCATTCTGTTACTAGAAGTTGTGCCTCACTCCTAAACGTCTGGTCATAACTGTGTAACATTTCCCCCCAACAAGCTCTTCTGATATTCATGGCTCAATGCTTCTTCTTTACACTCTTTTCCTTCTTCTCCCTCTCACTTTCTCCTTCCCCCTTTCCTTGCTGCGAGTTTGTTCCGAACTAATCCTACACGCTCCTCCTTAATCAGTACCATCGCTGGCTCTGGAGTTTGCTAATTCAGCAGAAATAATGGGGTGCTGGAAAACAAAGGGTCGGTCGGTTTAAGGGGTTTAAGATGTGCTGGAGAGCCACTCGTAAATTAGCATGCCAGAGTGAAAAGATTTTTTTTCCCCATGTGGAACTTTTTTTTTTTCATATTCGTTGGGAGGCCGGCCTTGGTTATGAGGCTCAGGCTGGGTCTGTTTTCTCTGGCAACGTCAAGTTTCCAAAGCAGCACATTTTAGAAGGAGAAAAACTAAATTCAACAGCAGGGCACTCAGCCTCCAGCAGGCAGCAAATCAAGCTCTGCAGCCTAACACAGGACTATAAAAAAAATCAAGTGTTGGAGCTCAACGCCGGGTAATAAAAATCGAGTCAGAATAATTATCTGTAAAGTAGAAGAACACACCGAGGAACATGCCACTAAAGTTAGGGTTTGGTAGTTGAGCTCCTACAGACGTCAGCCTCGTCTCAACTTATGGAGCCAGTGGACAAACAGGAGAGTAATGGAGATATTACTTTAGGAAACAGTCCAAGGCTACACACACACACAGACACACACACAGACACACACAGACTGCATCTGATTTATGCTTTTATGGCTTTGAAGGCCTCAGGGTCTGTGAATCTGAAATCTGAAGACTGAAACAACAGTGAAACATCAACACAACCAACACCAATGCCTGCAAAGAAAATGTGGATGTAACCACACTGTCAACCCATAATAAACATTGTGGAAGTCCTCAGGTCGCAATTAAATATACTGTAGTGCTATTACTTCATTAAGTGCTAGTACATGCATTAATACTATTCTACAACGTCTTCAACCCTGCAGTGAAAGCCTGGTTTTAAAAGCACTACCTGCAGGCAATGGGAGGACTTATTCATTATCATTTACACTTTGATTCAGGGGCTTTGGGTGACTGACAATGGTAGCCACATTCATGTGTAAAAACACATGGAAAGTCTGTCTTTGCTTCCCTGCTGGTCTCAAAGAATCAGCATGATGCTGCAAGGACTAATGTAATCAATTCAACTTATTTAAACCATAGATAGTTTAATGCCTGGTTGTAGCCTAAAATGTGAAAGATTTCCAAAATCTGATAGCTCTAAGTTAGGCTGTTCTGTAATTTCAGATGAGGTTGAACCAGATCTGTAGTAAAATTCAGGCAAATGCTGTTCAATGTGGTTTACAACACATTCCGTTTTCACTACGGCAGGAATGTGGGTCGTCCCATGGTGTTGGAGGAAAACACTAAACCAAACCTAGGAGCTCGTCAAAGTGCAGGGGGGGGGGTTAAAAACTATCGAAATGAATTAAGCAGCAAGTGAAAATGAAATGCATAACTTCACAGTACTAAGGCACACTATGGTTTGTTTGTTTTCTACTGGACTCACAGTTGAACTGTCCATTCCGGGATCGTGTTTGGAATTTGGCCCCTCTTGAGCCGACTGCAGTCCACCAGCTCCCCAGAACACACGCAGGGAGGGGGACACGTCCGTGTGTTCGCCCCGCATCCACGAAGGAGCCTCAAAACGAGCAGAAAGACCACGGCAAACCATGCAAAACTGCGAGGCTGCGTAAAGGCGCACATTTTCTCTGACCACACAAGAGAACAGCCCCGCGTTGAGTCGTATCTTCAGATGAACCAATCCAAAAGGGTGAGAAATCTCCAAGAAAATCCCCCAAAAAATCTGTTGCGATGTAAAAAAAAAAAAAACAGAATATGTCCTTAAATCCAACCCCGTTTTGTTTTGAGGATCGCAGATGTGAGATATAAAAGGAAAACGTTCTTCTCAAACTTGCCCATAACTGTGGAGAAACTTTTTTTTTTTTGGTTGCCGTGCGCCTCGCTGCTTCTGCTGCTGTTGGGGCAACTTGTGCTGTGCAAGATCCCCACACAGCGCAGCGTGAGCACACACCAGAGGTATGCGGGGGGGGGGGGGGGGGGGAGGGGCCACAGGGGTGCGTGGGACATGTAGTCCATGCTTTGAGTCCATGCTGCTGCCAATGAACCGCACTGAATCCCCCAAGTTTAACTACCGACTTCAGGTAAAATTAGTTTATATTCCAAAGTAAAGTAAGCTTTCTGCATTTATGCAAACTGAATAAGAAGGTCTATTCTTTTTTTGTGTTACGCAATATTCCAGAAGACAAACACACATTCAAATGAGACCACAATTTTCCATAGCCTACATGTTTGTTTGTTTTTTCAGATGTGGAGGTGATACAAACTGTGTCTTAAAATATTTTGTTATTTCAGTTTGGCTACTTGAATTGAATAGGACATTTAATAATCGGAAACGTTGGTGAAGTCAAAAATAATTTCTCCAACATGGAAGAATAAGTAGCCTACACTCATACTGGGGGGTTTTTTTGGCCAAAAAATGAGGATGTCAGAATAAAGATGTGAAAATCAAAGTTTTATACTTGATAGGATTCCTCCAAATCTTTCAAAGCTGAGGTGTTCAAACTTTGTTTTTGTAGAAATATGTTGATTTAGACTAATTCAAACTCCCTCACATAATGTACTCACCTCAATCTTTACCAGTTGTAGAATTGTACTATTGCACATTTCAAACTTAACACAACATGATGGATATACCAGAAACAATTAAGTTCATTTTAAACTAAAAATGAAGGAGCTGTAGCAATTCGGCATTTGGTTAAGTAATGCATCTGAACTTCTAGCATCACTGGTTTTCTTTTTGATAATGTTTTGTATATGAACAGTTTTTTTTTTTTAAGTAATGTAAGTGATGATAGCTCACACCAATTCTAAGATGTGCACATGCATGATACATAAGAGTGCTTATTAAGAAATATCACCTTGTTGAAAGTCACAAATCAACGTTATTTATCTTCAAGGTAAAGTCACTAACAGAGGCTTTAATTGACTTTCTACACTTGAAAGCCGACTGATATTTTCTCATTTGCAATTTAAAAGAGGTGTGCTCCTTTTTGCATTTCCACATTAAAGGGCCTTCATGGGATATTCATGCCCAGGCAGATGTGTCAGGTAGCCCTCAGGCAAAGTTTGCAACCGTTTCCTGTTGACCAAGGTCATACTCTCACTGCTCTCTGTAGGTTCCTTTTCTCAGTCAAGACACAAACTCATTAATCTGTTGACGAGGAGACGGAAGTCAGACTGATTTTGATAAACTGTATAAGAAGTAAAAGTCTGCATGATTCGAAGACTGAAAAACAGCCTCTATTGCTCCCCCATTGGAGGAAATTTAGTTTCTTCCAGTAAGCATTTTATTTTGTAAATTATTAATTATTTCGATTCTGACCGGACAATAAACATCTCCCTTCAACATCCAGCATCGTCAGGCAGGCTATCACTTTGATCCAATACACATCAGAAGACTGAATGGTTCTGGCTGTGTTTCGCTGGAACAATGCAAGTGATTGGTGATAAAGACTTCTATTGTTTTTGTAAAGTTCCCTTGTGAATGGTTTATTGGTCTCCGTAACAGCTTCTCAAAGATCTGAGACTCTTCCTGCGGTCAGGTAGCCAACACCTTTGTATGCAAAAAAGGGGGCAAATGGTGTAGCCACATAGAAGTAGCGCTATCATATTGCTTACAGAAGTGCACAGGCAAAAAAAAAACAGTTTTTGTTTCAGATATAATCAAAGATTTCATTATAGATGTTTGCTTTGATAGTCTTTATGTCTGTTCAAACAGCAGTTAAAGATTCTTAATAGCAAAACACTGGATGCAACGTTCCCCTGCTGCTCCATTTGGTCCTACAAACCGTTCCTTTTAATTAAATCTTGTCGATAAAGTGGATTGTGCCTGAATGAAACTGGGCTGTTAAGTAGTGCATTGATTTTATACTTACGAGGAAGGACACACAATATGATGATTCAGTGTTATCCTCCTGAAAATAATGAATACTTCTCATCAATATAAAGTTATTATCACAGGAGATTGTTTCATTTTAATTTGAAAAAAAAAAAAGTATTCTCAAGAGCTGAGTGGCAGGATTTCTAATGGGCTTATGTACCATAAAACTTAATGAAATCAAATTCTCCTCCGCAGCCGAATAACTAACCACACAGAAAATGTTCCTCTGAGGCAGCACATCAGCACAGATAATAACTCACTTCTCCTTAAGGAATCTAGATTTTCTTTTTTTCAGAGCCCCATGTGTGCTCACTTCTCAGCAGGGGAAAAAACAAACACAAACACAAAACTTAGCAGGAATCTGGGGCAGGCATGGCATGTTGGAGTGTTTTACCGGCTTGTAGTGATTGATTAGACCCCGGCAGACTCCTGCAGGATTTTGGAAGAGCAGGGGGAGGTGTGGGGGGGGGGGGGGTCACACCATCCCCGCAGGCCCACACATCGATGGGCTGATTGCTTCCTCGTGGTCTCCTCTGCTGAGGCCTCTCGTTGGAAAAGCAACAACACCTCCCTGCAGCTTGACAAGTTGTTTAATCCATTAGGAGAGGGAGAAAACCTTCCTTTTTCAGAAAGTAGTTCACGATTATTTCACTTTCTCTCAGTGTACTGATATTGTAACTATGTAAGGCATGTTTTTTTTCACAAAATTCTTGTATTCCTTATATTTTATATTTTTGCGGTACTCACATTTTTTGTATTACAGAGCATTGTGGTGCCAGACTTGTCCTTGAAGACTTATAAGGTTCTATCTTATTTTCTCTGCTCACACTTGCACAAACGCTCCTGGAAAAAAAACCCTGAAGCTCTCAGGGTGAGATGCAGGTGTGTCAAACAACCACATTTTTCCGATCCGAGTTCAACAATCACTCTTTGTTTATTATCTTTTGTTTCATGTTCTTTTTTCGACTGTTAATGAGCAGCGATATAAAGGCAAAAAAAACTGTCATAATGTCAGACTCTGTTGCATCGTCTGCCATGACGGATTTCCACAGTGTCATTTTCACGTCATGTCTTGTCTCCAGAAACTTCCCTCTCACAGGGAAATGGGGGAAAATGTCATACTGGGGGGACACTTGTGTACAAGCAACTCCAAAATTTTGTATACATTTTCAAGTGTGCATGTGTGAAAGCAGCGTTTGCCTCTTTCCATCTCGTTCTTTCTGACTCTTACTCAAATGTCACTTTCTGGGCCAAGCAGGTTGCGGCAGATTATTTTGGACTGCCCAAGGTTTTTACCTCTTGAAGCCAATTTTGCTGTCCCCATGATGCCAAGTGCTTGCAGAATGGTGGATAAGGAAGAGTCATTTGATGTAAAAATGACAAAGAGTAGGGGGAGACCTGCGATTTATGGTAAGTGTCATGTAAAAAATAAATTCAAATTGACTGACTGAATAAAGACTTCCAATATAAGCTGTAGGCCTCGAGTCTCTTCCTGGCCTTCTCTCTGCACAGCAGCCTTGCAGCGTGCCTCAGCTCTCACATTCCTCTCTTAGTGAAATCATATTTTCTAGCCGCCACTGATTTGTTTGGTCACAGCGGCGCCTGCATGATAGATGTTTTTCTGGTAGTGAAACGCCTCCCGTACCCGTCAGTGCGCCCCCAGCCCCTCCGCCCCCGGATAGTGTGGAGGTATGTGGAGCTGTTAGTTGGTTCGTCAGTTGAGTATCGGTGCCAGAACCTCTGCAGTCTGAGAGAAGCACGTACAGATGTTGGCAGTGAGCTTGCCAAGCTGCTAATGCTGTGCATGGCAGCCTGCCAGAGAATATACTCGGAATAGTAAGGGTGCTGAAAAATGCCTACCCAGCTTGCCTCGCTCCAGGTATCACTCTGCCAGTAACAACATACAGTTAATGGTAGGAAAGGTATGTCTGCATAAGCATATGTGTTTCAATTGATATCTTTTATATAAAAAGGTTACCTTAAATATATATAAAAAAATATGCATCCAATGACAGCTATCATTGCTTTCTGATTTGAGCAGGTTTTTTTATGACGTAAAAAAATTGTGACTCTTACTAGGTGTGCCATGGCGCTTACAGACTACCATTTGAATGCAATTATTGGAGATGGTGAGAGATGCGTAATGGGGGGAATGAGAGGGCAATGGACGAGGCGGAACAGCGCTGTGTGTGTGTGTAAAGCTCACTCTGTGTGCTCAAAGGACTAATGACCGATGATCTGGACCTGCTCTTTGTTGAAAGTGTCTAGAGAAAACTCTTCTTGATTTCGTACTTTTTTAAAAATCTAATTGATTGATTGTTAAATCAACTGTATTCTAGCGGCTTAAGAAATCCGGTTTGGTTCAGTACAGTTTGGTTCTGTTCGGTATGGTAAACCCTGAACTGGCTTGCTTTTCCACAGCCATTCATACCCTTATTTGGTAAGCGGAGTGTAAGCCAGATGGAGATAGCTGCCTCAGCTATAGTGTGACATCATAGCAGTTCAACATCCGTACCCTTTGCACCCCAATAGAAGGGTACCAAAAAAGTAGGACGGTATGAAGCCCTTATTCCCAACTTTTGACAGTGGAAATGCAAAATAAATGGGTACCGTACCGAACCGAACTGAAGCGGACCGCTTGGTGGAAACGGGGCTATAGTGTCAAACAATGTATGGACAAAGTCAAGTACCAGGCTGATGAACAATTTTAACCATGAAGCAATTCAATAGAAAAGGTTGGTTGGTTTACCAGTTGACCAGTAACACAACAAAAAAAATCATGCTAATATTGCTAAGTTTCTTTGTGTAATGAGTAAATATGCACCTGTTTGCTGACACATTTAACTTGTCAACATTATAAAGTGACAATGTGTCAGTGTTTGTTTTTTTTACAGATTGTTAGTACTCACTAAAATAGCCAGAAATGCACTAATCTCACAATTTCTGCTGCCATGCCAAGATCTCAGAGGAGGTCCAGCGGAAAAGTGTCAGAGAATTTGTTTAATGAGACCTTTGGGTTTTCAGAGGTGGC